GGCAGCCCTTAGATCCTGTTTCCTGTCAGACCCATTGGGCTCCCACGTGGTTATTAATCCCCTTCGCCAAGCTCCACCTTATAAGCTAACATTATAGCTGTGAATAATTAAGCTAATCTATACCAATAATATTTTAAGAAGCACGAGGAGAAGGAGATAGGAATCTAATACTGTGGAGGGCCTGGGCAGCGGTCTCGGCTCTGGAGGAAACCCACTTGACTACTTGGGGGAGATTGAACAAACACCCACGACCGTCCACCAAAGCCAGCTCCATCCGATCAGGTTACTTTGCTGACTGCCTGGTGATTTGAACTCCCGGCTGATGCAGAGACTCACGGGCTTCCCGCCAACCTCGTTGCTGGTGACCAGTTCTCAGTCCACACTGGTTCTCAGAGAGGGTTCCAGGGGGCAGCTGCCACCTCCCCTGGGGACGCAGCAGCAACACAGATCCTCAGCTCCCAGCCACCAGCAAATCTCTGGGGTGGTGGGCCTGGCAACGGGCACTGTTCCTCCAAGTGATTTCTGCCCCAGATACGAATGTCCACTGCCTCTGGCCCTGTGCTCCTTGTCCCAGCTGGGCACTTGCTCTCCGGGTCTGGGGTCTCCTGAGGCTTAAGGGAGACGCGTGGGTAACGTCCCACTTGCTAGCTCATTGGACAGATTGGGCTGTGGAAGGAGATTGGCAATCGATTAGTGATGCCTGCATGGGCTCAGGTGTGGAGGGCTTTGACTCTGCCCTGAGTCGGAGGCCTCCACCTAGGTCACCCCGTCCCGTGGGCACGGGAGGTCTTGGCACCGGAGACTGGATCACTGGAAAAGCGAGCACTTAGTCGGGGGCTTGTCTGTTCTTCTCCCAGGTGGGCCTGGGCTCTGGCGATCTGCTTTCCTTACAGCCTGGCCAGGAAGCAGCAGGTTCGCTGTCCCCGTAGGTAAAATCCAATGGGCGGAAATTCCCCGGACAGGAACCCAGTGTCGTCCCCCAGGAAAGTCACCTTTCCCTCCTGCCCGCTGGGAAGTCCTGCTGTGTCAGTTTTTAACTTCTTCTTTCTTTTAAGAGAAATTTCACTTTTGTCCCATCAGAAGAGGGGACGGTTTCAGGACAGAACACAGTTCACTGCTGCACACCAGCAGAGGGCCCACCCCGTCCCTGCCACCACCTCCAGGCCCTCGGCTTCCCTCTCCTCTGCTCCCTTGGAAAGGCCACGCGGCTGGGGGCTCCGTGAAGGCCCCAGGGGACTGAAGCCCACACTGAGTCCTGCAGACCCGGCCCCTGGGGCCCAGGGACGAGTCCCCCTGCTCTGGGCCACTGTGTGTGCAGGCAGCGGGTGAGCTCTGTGCAGGACTCCCCAGGGCAGCCAAGTGTCCTCCGGGGCACTGTGCCCGGCTGCTACTCTGCTGCCTCCCGCCCCCTCAGCAGTGGGGAGCAGAGCCTGATGCGGAGGCCCCTCCACGGCCCAGGAGCAGCGGCTCTGCTCCCCCACCCCTACCCGGTCCTCTGGGGGCTCAGGCTGTGGGGAGCTGCCCGCCCTCCAGGTCTCAGTGTGCAGAAGAGGGGTAGGGAGGGCGGGGGGGGCATGGGGGGACCTTCCTGGAGGAAAGCTGCTGGGATTTTGGCCTGCACGTGTCCCTGTGTGTGTCCCTACGTGACCCCCCACGTCGCAGTCAAGATGTGTTCAGTTGTAAGGGGGGTGGAGGTCAGGCGAGGCTGTCTCCTGTGGAGTCTGCCCCTGCAGACCCCCTGAAGAGCAGAGCCGGTCCTGTCTGCCCTTCAGCTCCCTGGTGGTGGGGGGCGCTGTATCTCATTGACAGGGATCTGGGGGTCAGCGCTCATTGACGCCATGCCACCAGCTCAGGCAGGACGGGGTTCCTCAGGCAGGAGACTACAGCCCGGCAGTGGGGAGGAAGACCTCCGTGCTCAGAGGCCTGCGTGGGCGCCCGGCCTCCGAGGATGGCGTGAGAGCTTGTTCTGGTGCTGGAAGTTCCCTAACAGACGGAGGCTTTGCGGATGAGCCGGGCCATTTCACAATCCTCCTCCCGGTCAGCCCTGTCACGGCAGCACACGTGAGCGGATCCCGAGAGCCAGTCGGGCTCTGGCTCCCATGTGCCAGGACAGCTATTCCGGGGCGGCTTCAGTGACCAGCCCGGGGTCACTGTGCTCGGGGGCTCAGCCTCCGCGTCAGGCACTCCCCCGGGCTGGGACGGCCCCCAGCCTGAGCACGGCTTGGGGTGGGCTGGGGATGCAGCGCTGTGCCCGGCACACAGCCGGAGCTCAAGCAGAGCTGCCCCTCTGGTGGGACGGGGGAGGGTGGGGCAGTGGACACTTGGCTGGCCGCCAGGCTGGCTGAGAGTGGCCCGGAGCTGAGCTACAGGACTGTCAGGGCAGGGTCTCCAAGGCCAGATGGCCTGGGTCCGAATCCCGGCTCTGCTCTTCTGCGCCACGGCAGCCTCCATGGGACGTGTGCCCAGTGCTTCCCTCAGGGCTGCGGAGGATCCCGCGGTGACACAGAAGAGCACTTGGCTCAACACCTGCCGCACGCCAAGAGCCCGGGAGCTGCCGCCCCACTCCGCCTTTTCATCCAGTATTTGTGGAGCGCGAGGTGCTGAGCGGCTGGGTACTCTCTGGGCCTGGGGCCGAGGCGGGGGCCAGGAAGGCCCGTCCACCCTGTGCACACTGACAGATGCGCCTCCTTTCCCTCTCCAGCGCTGGTTACAACGTGCTCGCATTTTAACGCCCCGACTTATTTTAAACATTCCCTCCTGTGGACCCCGCAGCCCAGCCCAGCAGGGGCCACCGTCTTGCTCACAGCTGGAGCTCAGAGAGACAGTGAGTGACCAGGCCCCGGCCTGCGGCTCAGTGAAGGCCTCGTGGGGTTTCCTTCTTCCTCACCTCCAGCCCGTGGCAGAGCCTGGGGTTCTGCCGCCAGCTCTCCCGCAGCGCGCCCTGCTCCCTCCTGGGCTCCAGGCCCCAGTCCTCCTGGACTTCCCGCGCCCTGGCCTGCCTGCTTCTGCAGGCTGTGGTCTCCCTGGCCTTGGCAGGGTGCTCCGAGTGCCCCAGGACAGCTGTCCCCCGCCCAGGCGCTCCAGGCACTCCTGACCCCACCAGGAAAGGCACTGGGTGGTAGGACTTTCAAGCCCTGTAATGGGTGTCTGCTGCCCGCTCCAGGGCAGGCCAGCTCTGGTGGCCCTGGACTGGGCCCCGCAGCGCCAGGAGCCGTGGGGGGCCTGGGTGGGGTGATCCTCCCCGGCTCAGCCTCTGCTCGCGGCTCTGCTGCCCTTCCTCCAACACGGTGTCCGTCCCTCTGCCCTGGTGTCCGCTGCACCCGGTAGTGGCCTGGGCAGCCCCCTGTGCTGGTCAGGAGTGCTGATGGCAGGATGCCTCCCACGCTGAATGGCCGAACCCAAGGAGGCTGGGGACAGGCAGGGAAGCAGCCCGCAGAGCAAGTGGGACTGAGCAGCAGGAGGTCACCCCCACCGTGACCCTCCCCCCTGGCCTTCCACACTCAGGGTCTTGGCTGAGGACCACCCTTCTCTGTGGCCGGATAAGAGACCACTGACTACATGCCAGGGTCGTCTGGTGGAGGGGACACAGCCTTGCCTTTCTTTCTAGAAGACCCAGGAAAGGTTCCGACTGGTCCCCGTGGCTTGGGGTCAGTCCTGAACTGGCCGGCCTCCTTCCCATTCTTGGCCAATCTCTGCCAAGGAGCGATGTCGTGTGGGCCAGGTAGTGCCTGCCAGAACCACGGGGTGCAGAGTGGGGCCAGGCCCTTCTCAGGGCTGCAAGGGAGCTGGTCAGACAAAGTGGACACTGACTATGCAGCCTGTACCCTCCCCCTGTGGCCACAGGTCCCCCTTCCCACTTCAGGGAAGTCTGACCTCCAGCCGGCCTGGCCAGGCTCTTCTACCCTGGCAGGACTTTAGCTGGGTGTGTGGGGGACGGCCCACCACGATGTGACCTGGCCACTCCCTGGAAGAGCTCTGGGGATGAGGTGGGCTGGTGTGGGCGTCCTAGGTCCTGCCCCTGGGGACCTGTGGCGAGGAGGTCAAGTCCCGTCTCTTCCCTGACCATCATGCAGCAGGGCGGCCCTTCTCCCTCCAGGGGTCCTCATGGTGCCAGAGTTGGACAACAACTGACCTGAAGGTTCCAAGGAGCAGAGAAAACCGATCTCGCTCCCTGGATCAAACCCGGCCCCAGGTGTGAGTCCAGGGAAGACCCTCTGCCTGCCGGGCTCCTGCATGGCGTGGACGGGACCCACGGCCCTCCACAGCTGCAGCCTGTGGTTGCTCTGCGCATCACCTGCCGCGGACTGGGCCTGTCACTCTGAGCACATGCCCCTGTCCCTTTGGTGGCCCCCTCACAGCGGTCACCACACAGTCTGTGGGCAGAGGGGCCCTCTGGACGCCACCCGTGCCCCTGCACCCTCCTGGCCTGTCAGCCGGGGACCAGCGAGGGAGGGCTCAGGTGACGGCCAGGCTGGCCATCCCTGCAGCTGGCTGACTAATTAGGCCACATCTGGATCTAATTAGCTGTGGAGTCTCCCCCAGCGCAGAGGACGCCTTTATCATCCGGAGAAAAATGGCTGTCGATACGCTCCACTTCCTGGTGCGCCGCTGACAGGGCGGGGGCTTGGGCAGTGGGTGTTGGGGGTCGCGTTGGGGCAGTGGGCCGGTGGGAGTGGGGAGGGTGGGGTTCAGAGGGCTCGGAGCAGGAGGGGGAATGGGCCACGCTGGCCCTGGCCGGAGCCCCTCCCCAGGACCGCTCAGGGTCCCCCCGTCCTTGGAGGCAGAAGGAAGCCCTGGGTCCTGGGGCCACCTGGGTTTCGTGGCCACATGTGAGTTTGCATCTTACCTGGAAGGAACAGGGCCGTGTCCTCTGCCCCTCGGGCCCGCCTGGGCCTGACGTTCTCACTCTGGCACCGCGAGATCTCCTGGGGGGTTGGTGAGCAGGCTGCCTGACCCGCTGGGGCAGACCCAAGGGTCCACGTGTCCAGCAGGTTCCTCCCCATGCTGACGGGCTGGCCCAGGGGCTCCTGAGACCCTGGCTCTGCGAGGGCACCGGCCCCACCCACGGGGGCTGCACCTGGAGGAGGCCACCTGAGACCTTAACCAGCCTCTGCCGCCTGGTCCCACCCAGTGAGCCGAGCTGGCGGGCAGCCCCCTGGCTGGGGCTCAGGAGCCCTAGAACTCACTATCGAGGACCCCGCTGTGGTGTGACACTTCCTGCTAGGCTGGGCTCTGGACTGGGATGCTGATTGCAGGGACTCAGGGACAGAGAGCAGTGTGCGGGCCACAGTTTTCCCGAGCTGAATAGGAATAACAAGCTACAATTATTGAGCACTTACTGTATCCCGGGCATTGTTTTAAATGTGTTAACCCACGCAGTTCTCCCAGCAAGCCTCTGGAGTAAGGCCATTGTCCCCACTGCAGACACAGGAGCCCTGAGGTGAACGGGAGGCCGAGGAGCTGCCCAGGTCACCTCCACAGGCTGCTCCCCGTCCAGGGTGCCCTGTTCCAGGCACAGGGCCAGCGGAGCCCTGCAGTTAAAGTCTGTCCCTGGGAAAGTGGCAGGGTGCCAGGCCCTACGGGACACGTGTGTGACTCGGGGGACGGGCCACCAAGCTGTAGGAGACGGGACTCCAGGGTGACGGAGCTGAGCACCAGCGTGTGGCTCGGACCCCAGAGCTGTGCTCACGGGCACAGGTGGGGACAGGAAGGTCCCTACGCTGGGGCAGCCCCAGAGCCTCGGTCCCTCCTCTCCTGTGACAGTGGCCAGGCTGCTCCTGGTGAGGCGCTGCGGGGCCTGGCGGGCCTGGTCCGGCACCTTGCTCCCAGCTGTGCCTCCCTGGACCCTCAGTGGTGGCCCGAGCTGGGCCTCTCTCAGTGTCCCAGGTGACAGTTGGAGGGGTGACCCCGTCCCAGGGCCCCTGACAGATGTGCAGAGGAGGAGTTGCCCCCCGAGCCTCCGGCCAAGGATGGCAGATTCTCCAGAGGGCCCGAGCCCACCCCTCCCCCAGTCACAAGGAGCAAGGAGCCCTGGACACACCCAGGTGCCAGGCTCTGCTGACTCTGGTCATCTGTACGTGCACCGTGTCTCCTTTTCTCTTCTGCGTCCCCCTGGCCACTCCCACCTGACTCCAGTGGCCGTAGTGGTTTCCAGACGGCTCTCCTGACCCCACGTTTCCTCCGTCCACCCACAGACCCGTTCTCCTGTCGGCCCCAGGACTCCCCAGGCCTCTGCTCCTGCTCCGGCCCTGGCAGCCAAGCTCTTCTAGAGACACTGATGGTGGCCTTGTTCTGCCACCAGGGTCCAGCAGACCAGAGGGAGGGAAGGACTGAGTCAGACTCCCTTGCCCTGCCCCAGCCAGCTGCTGACCCCCACCCCTGCCCTTGTAAGCTTTCGACGGAAGCCAAGCAGCCCGTGCTGGACGGCCTCCACCCTCCTCTTGGTCTCCCAGGGCCCCGCTGCTGCCCAGAGCTCCAGCCCCCACCCGGGCTTTGGGCTGCTGGTGGCCTCACCTGGTGTGTCACCGCCTCAGCAGGGCGTCCCCGAGGGCTGGAGCTGGTCTTGCCGGGCACCTGGAGAGCCCACAGGGTTCCTTCTGGCCCAGAGGAGACGGGCGCTCAGACCAGTGGTTCTCGGTCCTGCTGCCCATGGTGACCAGTGGGGACTTTGCAGTATCCTGACTCCCAGGCCGTGTCCCAGGGATTCTGCACTGTGGGCCACTTAGGGGCGTGGCGCTGGGCACGGTGGAAACTGCCGCAGTGATTCTAAGTGCAGCTGGGTAGAGACCTGCACTCTGCAAACACACTCACCCCACAGAACCGGGCCTTTTCCTCACATAGAGGTTATTTTAGATGTCAAATTTAATGTCTTTTTAAAAAATGGAATGACTTTTAGAAAAGACTTAACACCCAGCACTCAGACGCTTCCTCCTACGGCGCTGACTTGGCGTTTTAGGTGGGTTGGTGTTTCAACTCCGCTGCAGCCGTTTTACCCAGGACGGCGGAGGCCGGGAGGGCATTCTGCCCGGGCTCTCGTAGCGGGCAGGGCCAGGATGGGCTCTGGCCCAGATGGAGGAAGGTGGGCGCCACGCCTGCGCAGGTGGCCACCCTCGACTGGGGGAGTATGGTGCGGAGCACCGCGGCGTGCTGGGTGTGCTATCTCCCGCTCACTAAGGTCCGTGCGGAGTGACCGAGGAGGAAGGTTGCTCCAGGTGCCACTCAAAGCCCTCTGGCCACCAGAAGCAGGCGTCTCCCTCTTTGGGAAACAATGGCTTAGGGAAAGAGCCTCCCTGTGGGGACCAGGACACTAGCTCTGCCCCGGGGGTCCTTGGCAGAGGCACGAGACCTCCCGAGTGCCAGGGTGCACGCACTCAGACGTGGAGATGGTGGTGCAGGCCTTGGGCAGGGTCCGCTTCCTGCAGAGCCTGGAGCTCCAAGCTGCAGGCCGCCCCGTCGGGAGCCTCAAGCCAGGGTCCTGCAGGGCTGGGCACCCCCCAGGGGGGTAGGGTTAGTCTATAAATAGGCCCAAAGGCGACTAAGAATTTCATAGAGCTGTAACCTTCTCCAAATAATCTCAGAGGCAATAAACTTTGGTGTTGAACCAAGGGTTCTCAATGTTTTTATGACCAGACCCCCTTAACGGCTGTCTGGGCATTTCTCATGACCCCCAGCCCCTGCTGGCCTATCAGACATCTGTGCTTATCAAACCACCTCCGATTAATGGATCCCTGAGTAATGGGAGATGCTCACCAAATAAAACAAGAATGTAATGATTTATTAGAGTCTGTAGCAACAGAATCGGATGCGTATCCACATGTGAAAGGCAAGATGTCAGGACTGTCAGAGAGGAGGAGACCGTCCCCGCGACCTGGGCTCCGACAGCCTTCCGGAGAAACCCTGGCCGTACGTCACCATCACTGAGCGGTCGGGGCACCTGACTAGACGGGAACCAGCACACAAGATTCTCCTGCTCTTACCCAAAACGAAACAAACAGCAAAAACCATTAACAAAACACCCAGCCCAGCTTCAGGGACGGCACCCCGCCTGGCGCTGCGTCAGCCACTGGGCACAAGCCCTCCCGGCCCCAGCCTTCTTCCCTGTTTGCTCATCTATAAATCGTTCTGAGGATCCTATCAGATGGCGGCTGCTATGTGCTTAGAGAAGCATTTGATAAGCAAGAGCAGGGGGATCTGTGAGCACTGCAGTGACCTAGCCAAGCCGAGAAGTGTGCAAGGGTAGGAACCGTCCAGTCACAGAAAGTAGAAACCAATGTTGCTGGGTGCAGTGGCCACGCCCATGATCCCAGTGGCCGGGGAGGCTGAGGCAGGAGGATTCAAGTTCAAAGTCAGCCTCAGCAACTTAGCGAGTGAGGCCCTAAGCAACTCAGTGAGAGCCTGTCTCTAAATAAAAAATAGGGCTGGGGAGGTGGCTCAGCGGTTGAGCATCCCTGGTTCAGTCCCTGGTGCCAACACCAAAAAAACAAACCAAACCCAAGCAGAATCAAATAAAAAACAAATGATCATGCACCGCCCCACCCCGCAAATGCTAATGATACACTGCCAACAAGGGACGTATTTTCACCAATAAGCAGCTAGGGAAATAGAAATCCAAGCAACCGTGGCGTGACTCCTGAGGCACCCGCTGGCCCGCCTGGGAGTATGTGTGACACGCAGGTTTGCTGGTGCCGAGCCTCGAGTGACCAGGCGGTGCCGGGGCTCGGGGCACTCTTTCTGCACCATGGCTAGGCGGCGGCCAGGACGACCGGAGGCAAGCGTCCTCACCCGGGAGGAAAGGTTTCCGACCCTCCTGCAGTCTGAAGCCCGGGAGCCGTGCCCGGGCTCGCCTGGTGGTGGCACGGGGTGCGCCGTGGCGCGCAGGGCTCCTGACAGCTGCTCCGCACCGGTTACGGAGGGCGTCCGTCCACACCTTGAGGGCCACGTCGGAGCTGCAGACCGAGCCCAGCCCCTGGCTCACCAGCCTTTGTTCCCAGGCCCCTCCACACTCAGACCCGCCGTGAAGCGCGGGCGGCCGGGCGGCCACCAACCTGGAAGGGGCTGCGTTCCCCAGAAATGGTCTTCAATGGAGCGTAAATGGCCAAATATTAGCCTGCCACATAACAGGGGATGAGAAAATGTCGGTCTGTTTCTTGTATTTGATGCATAAAAACTATTTAAATCTATGAAATTTTTTAAAAAAGCCGAGTGTCCCGGGGAGGGTGGGCCCTGGCAGGGCGCAGGCCCTGGACGGCCGACTCCCAGCGTGGCCCTGCAGCCTCCCTGCGCCCCCTCCCTCCGGGAAGGCCCTCCTCATGTGTTACATGTCGTGACTCACGGAGCCCCGGCTGGTCTCCGGCAGTCCATCTGTGCCAGGGCTTTCTGTAAACGCTGCTGGGGCTCCCGGCCTGACCACCCACCGAAACAGGCTGTCTAAACAGCCCGCGTCTGCGCGCAGACACCGCGAGCCGCGTACACATGGATCCCCGCCAAGGGCTCTCTCTCCAGGCAGAGGTGGGGGTGGGGGGAGCCCTGGGAGCACAGCCCTGCCGGGAGGTGGCTTTTGCAGCCCGGGAGGTGGCCTCGAGGTGGTCCTTGCGCAGGCAGAGGGACCTCCTGCCCTCTGGGACGTGGCT